GAATGAGTCCTTTTTAATGAATAATAGGCAAATGCATAAATCTCAAACCCCAAGCACCCAGACGGTGAAACAGGCACTAATGAAGACCTGACTCGGCTGGCAGGTGTGGAGTTGATTTGTAAAACGCCGTGAATATATCAGTTTTGAAGTGATATTTGTGAAAAGAAGCAAATCTTCTGCGTGCTGCCCTTGCCTTCGCTCCCTGCTGCCTCACACCTGCTCCTGCTCCGTGCCATCCCTGCTGCAGCCCCCTGGCAGTGCCTGCTGCCCCTGCCTTCCAGGGACCAGCTTCCCTCTGTCTGCACTCTCACTGCAGTGACAGGGGGGAAAACAGTGCTCCCCCTTCCCCAGTGCCTCTCCAACCCCAAATCCCAACCCTGCTGGCGGTGCCACGCGTGGGTTGGAGCTCCCTGGCTTTGTGTGTGGAGATTATCTGGAGATTCACCTGGTGCTGATCCAGTGAACCAACGCAGCCTTACAAAGCTGGAGGGAAGGGTGCAGAGTCCTCTTTGTAATGAATCACATGGCGTGAAAAAGGATTTCTTTACCTCCTTTCCTCCATTATTCTCCATATCTCACCTGGTGGAAATGGGTCTGTAAGGAGGAGATTTAAACTCACATGGCAGGAAAAATGAGCAGGGCAGGGAGAACTGAAGGTAAAGAAGGCAGAGTTCCTGGAGGTTTCTGTAACTTGGGGATTCCAGGAAGAAGAAATTCTTTCTTCTTCCTGAAAAAATAGGAAGAAGCCCTGAAAAATAAACCCAGCATAGGCCTTGGTACTAAATCCTTCCTCAGGATGTTTTCACTAAAGCAGCTGCATAAGAAATCCTTAAAAAGCAGTGATGAGCTCAGTCCCAGAGGCAAAGGGTTTCTGTCCAGAGGACTGCCCAGCAGGCTGGGTGCTGCTCTGAACATCTTTGGTTTTACTGAGTTGAGCTGGTAACCTCTTCAGATCTGGCTGCCTCCCAAGTAGGGAGGGATGAATACTGCAAAATGTTTCAGTTTCCAGTGCAATTTTGAAACTCATTTGCTTTGACTGAATTTGCACTGTGTTTATGTAAATTTATAAACACTGTAATAAATTTATCTACTTACAGAAAACAGAAATTTTAGAAAAAGGCTGGAAAACATTGGTGAAACACAAATTCTAATTCAACAAGAATATTCACAGAACCTGATTTAAATGAGCATTCAGTCACGAAGCAGAAACACAGCATGTGGTCTGTATATCTAGCAAAGTATAGCAAGCATAATCCAAAATTCAAACAATGGTTATCAGCTTAAATGCTTTAAATTACATATGTGTCATTTTTTGTGGCTCACAGTGACTATGTAACCAAAACATAGGTTTTACAGGAGAAATGAAGACAAAAATCAGGCAATAGCTGCAAGTTGCTACTTTGCTTGCAGCTATCTATTCTGACTATGTTTTTTGCTAACCTGGGAGAGTCTGTGCCAGCACATAATTCTCATCAGGCTCTGTGGCACTGTGACCTGCCACCTTCATAAGAACATTCATGGGCATGATCATTAATGCTCTTGGAATGAGGTATCCTCCAGTGCCCTTGTTCCAACCCTCACTAATTCTGAAGCTGTTTTTGTCTTCCCTTGTACCTCTTGGAGTCTGTAATGTTTCCTGATTTTTTTCTCTTCTGTGTTCCCCTTCTAAGATCATCCTTAAACAGTTCTTTGATATAATTTAGGGGTTTTCGCCCCTTGTTAATTTTATACTGAACACATTAGTTTATTTACAGCACAAAATTAATCTGTATAGGGCAGATTTGGAGGCACTTTATAAATTAGGGGAACACTTAGAGCCATGTGAGGAACTGCATTGAAGCCAATGACAACACTTGCACTCTGAGTAAAGAGCTGGTCTCAGATATTGAGAGATCATGTATTATTTTAGAATACACTATTTTCCCACCATGGAGCTGCTATTTTCAGAGCATATCTCCATGTCTGCTTTGCCTACCCAGTGTTTGAAGCAGCAGGCAAACAGTTAAGCAGTGGAACCAGCAGCAAAGTGTTCCAGAAATTAGCTGGTTTAAGACTGGGAGGACGAATTAAAAAGCAGTGCAAGATGCAATTTTAAAGTTATCCTGTTCAAGCTCTTGCATTGGAGGCATTAGCCATGAGGGAGATCAGATCAGCTGGGAGCAAGATAATAAAATGAATGCAGGATCTGTAATGGGCACGTGGGAGGCTCCTGCCGTATGTTTTGGTCATGTCCTGATATACGTGAGCTTTGGGAGACAGTTCTACATGCAATAGAGTCAATAATCAAAGCTGAAGTACCAAGGAACACAACTTGATGTTTCCTTAGAGAGGCCACAAGTTTGCAGCAGATGAATAAAGAGAGAATGTGGTAGATACAAATTTGTCTTTAGGCAAAAAGGAAAGAAAAAAGACTTGAAAACTGGAAGTGGGAGAAAATATTACACTGTTTCCAGACTGGAAAGAAATAGTAATGCCTACATCAGAAAGTTAATTAATTGTTGTTACATTGATAAATATGTGATATACCACATCAAAGACTAGCTAAATGATATTTGGAAATTAATTTGGATTCCTATTAAACAGAGCTCAGAGGAGCTTCCCAAATGAATAACTTGTTTGCTAAGCATTGCTTCCTTCTGTTTATAAAGTCTTTTCAAGTAAAGACAACTATTTTCAACTGTTCTTGTTGTTTTAAATGAACTACGAGATTCATCACCAGACATTCCTGACACATCCGTATACTGCAAATTGCAATGCCTTACTTAGGATCTTATAAAAATTAGGTATTGCTTACCTCTTTTCTCTATGGGGATGACTTCAATAAAGTTATCTAAAAAGCCCCAACACCTAAATTTAATATTGACAGTATGCTCATTTTCTCTAGTGTCAAATATTATTAAAAGAAAATGTAAATGTGACACATTAACTATATAAATATAGGTTCAGATTCTGAGCTCTTAAGAAAGTTTTTCTACAGTAAGAATGCTGTTTTCTTGGGAACTGTGCCAAAATACAGTGAAACTCGTGGCAGTTTCTGCTTTTATTAAATGAAAAACTCATTCCTCTCATTCTGCTCTTCTGCCAGTTTTATCCTGGTATAATTCCACCTACATCTCTGGAAGTACTTCTGGTTTTTATTAATGTCTATGAGTTCAAAAGAAGATAGGATTTAGTAGAGCCGAGTGCAGAGAGTTTACATGCAGACAAAAAGAGAGAGAGAGAAAAATCTGACACAATATGCTGTAGAGTGGGATGGCAGCAACTTTCTCAGTTGTCTGTGGAATTGTAGTTGTTTAAAATGTCCAGGAAAAAAAAAATCCATCTGGTTTCTATACAAGCAGAGAAGTGGCTGCCACTCAGTTGTCTGTGGAATTGTAGTTGTTTAAAATGTCCAGGAAAAAAAAAAATCCATCTGGTTTCTATAGAAGCAGAGAAGTGGCTACCATGGCAAGGAGGTGGCTTCTGCACCCCAGCAAGCCACCCAAGGCAGCAGGGATGGAGCTGCAGGGCTGCAGTTGGGTGTTTGAGCTCCCAGGGAGCTGATGGCTGGGTTGTGTCAGCCCAAGGAGCAAAGCAGCTCCTGCTTGCTTGGATACCCATAGGAATGTTTACAAAAGAATGTCACATTAACTTTGTATCCTTTGGTTCATAGGAAAATATTTATTCATCAGGTTTGGAAATTAATTTCATCCTCTGGTTTCATCCTGTCACTTTTTAAAGTATTTTACCTCTATTAGTTTTATTTTCCTTTCTCTTTGCCAATTAAACCTATGTTTTGGGCCTTCAGATTCTCAGATTTTTTTGTCAGAGGATAGCACTGCTGAAGTGAATCTCTTGTTTGCATAGGTGTGTTTAAAAGATTAAAGCTGAACAGACATTCTTGTAATAGACATGGGATCAATGAAAGCTCTTCTTTTCTCAAGAAGCTTTAAGGCTTAGCAGCGTGCTTGGTTTTTATTTTGTTTGTTTGTTTTAACTATGGATGAAGTTGCATCTCTGCCTGGGCTTTTATTATTTGTAGGGTCTTCTACAGAATTCCTGAGCAAGAATTTACCCAACTCATCCCAAGCTTAGCTTGAGATGACACAGCTCTCTTCCCGAATGTATCAGTAGCCAAAGGTTTTCTAGATGATCTCTGCAGCAGACAATGTATCTGATTTCCCTCTTCTCCTACTTGTGCCACTTCCAGCTTTCTAATTTCTTTTTTCAAATTTCAAATTTTCAGTTTTAGTGCTTACTCTGTCAACAGCCTCCTGAGTTTCAGTGGGGCCTCACAAAGAATTTGGATGCTACTCTGTGGGGCTGTGAGCAGCAGAAGCCAAGTCAGGACAGTGTCCTGGCAGGGATCTGAGTCAGGGCAGGAAGGAGAAGCCAAGGTGGCATCCATGCTCCAATGCCTACAGGATTTGGATTTGGATTTGATGGCCAATAAGCATTTTAACTTGTTGATTTGGTTGGCTAACTTTTGTGTAGGCAATTGCAGGAGGGGAAGAGACAGAGGCCCTGGGTTAGTGGAACAATGACATTCATGCTTTAAATCCCTTAAGCACAAACCTAATGGCCATTGATTACAATGCTCTGAAGAGCCCTGCTGAGTCAGAGCCTGAGTGAGGGCAAGTGAAGGTCCAGGTTGGTGGTGCAGTGTGTGAATCACCCTCACAGTGCAGACCCTCAGCCAGAGCTCCAAAGAGAAGGGAACCTCCAAGGTCAGGCAAGGCTGTTCCAGGGCCTGGGAAAAGGCAAAGGACACAGTGAGCACAGGCTGTGGAGGGGAAGAAGGCTGAATGGCCAGAGCTGTTCCAGTTGATATTCTGCTGGCCATGTTCTTTCTGAAAGGTGCCATTGCTGCAGGCTTTCCTCAGGGGAGCGTTTGCTTTGTTTCCCCCATGAGAACAATGTTTAACTACTTCAGCCACAGAATCTAACCCTAATTCTGCAACTGACCCAAGCAGAGGATGCAGCCCTGCTAAGTCCTTTGTGTCTGTTTTGTGTGTGTGCAGGTGCTCCCTGATGGGGTTTGATCTGAACCGGCACTGGGCAAATCCCTCTCCGTGGGCTCATCCCACCCTGCACGGAGTGAAGGAGCTCATCATCGACATGTACAACAACCCGGTGAGTGGGGACAGAGCTGCTGAGCCCCCCTGGTGCTGACAGATCCCCCCCCCACTGCAGGAGATCAGGGAACACTTGTGCTTTTGCCACAGGAAGCACCAGAAGTGGAGAAAGCGCATGGAATGAAGTTCAGCTCAGATTAACAATAAAATAGTTCTGAAAGCAGGGCCTAAATTCAGCTGAGCTGCTCTTGTGCTCTGAGCTGGATTCAAAACAGCAGGCCCCCTAAACTGCATTAGGGAATGGCAGCAATGCTTAATCCAGGGCTCTGGCAGTGGTGGCTGGGTGGTGTGCAGGGCAGGAGGGGGAGAATATTTGCAAATATTATATAAACCCACACGCACACACTCATGCTCACTCAGAGAAGCAGAGGTGTTCTTGAAGGTGAAATCTTAGCTAATCAGAGGAGATGGATTGAGGAGAATATGGAGAAGAGGAGTGGGAGGGAGGCAGACAGCTATTGAATGTTTGACATCAAAGCGCAGAAGGATTATTGAACGTGGCACCTAAGAAAAACTGCTGGAAAAAAATGGAGATGGGTAGGAAAAAATCACTACCAAAAAATAAGAGGAGATTTTATAGATTATTATTTTTTTCATTATAGGATTCCTGGTATTTGTCTTTTCTTTTTGCTTCTCACGATGGAGAGGGAATTTGAATCTTTAAGTCCCTGAAGTTTTGCTAATTTTTCCTTTTGTTTTTTCTTTCTTTCCTTTTTGTTTCTGTGAAAAAGAACCTTGCCTGCCTTGCTAATAAAGAAAGAGGATTCTTACCCCTGGCTACATCATGTATAGAATAAGACCTCCTTTAATTTAAGTCCTGGTTTTCCCAATACATCTTAATTAGACTTTTTATCTTCCAGTAATACCTGTACAGACGAGTTTTTAGGTACAGGGAAGATAGGTTAATAGATACGATCGTTACGTATGGACTGGAATCCAATTGCATGAAAAATATTTTCTTGGACCACTAATTGTTTGGCACAGAATTTGTCTTTCTATTCAGTTTCTGCAGCACCTTGCACTGTGCATTGTCTCTGACCAAGGCTCCTAAACTCTATTAAAGTGATGATGATAATGGTGGAAAAGCACAGAAAGGAGCTTTGGAGCCAGCCTAGTCTTTCCTCTGTTTTCCACCCCAAAAGCAAGACAATTTTCCTTCTAGGCAATGGAGTGAGCATGCAGATTGCTTTAAGAAAAGTTTTGGTTTTTTTCCCAAGAATGAAGAGGTCTTTAAACATTACAAGGAAGTTGGGTGTAGGGAAGTGCTTGTAGCCAGTAAGGCAACAAATCCTGGCACTATTAAAAGTCACTGTCAGTAAAGTAAAGCTATTCTTGGAGATAGGGGGAAGTTCTTTTCAGCTTCATCCCATTCTAAGGAATCTTTGAAAATTCTGGTAGCTTCCAGCTGTCCTGTGTGTGAAGAATGAATTAATTTGCTTTGGTGGCTAAATGAAAAATCAAAAGAACTGTTTGGTGAGAGCTGATCTGAAATGGAAATTATTTTTTTTTCCTCCATCTTTCTGTCTCCCACTCTCCCCAGTGATCAACCTGAGATGAACCAGTTCATTTCTTTCTGAGGGAAAGAAAAGGGAGCTGTTTAGACATTTAGTTTTCAATTTTTTTTTTAACAACTTTTTAGATTTTATTTTTTTTTAATTAAAGTACCAGCAAATTCAGGTTGCTGTTCAGAATTCCATTTCTCAGTGAATTTGCTACCCACCAAAAAACCTTCTTGCCTGGCCTTGTCAACACCAGCCTTTCTGGCAGTTTCAGGGATGCTCAGCAATGCAATGCAGTATATGGGATTACTGTTATTTTTAGGAAATACCAGATTCTTAGTCCCTCTGATCCCAGTAATATTGGTATGAAAAGACCATATGTAAAGTGCTGGGACGAAAGGGGGAGACAAGCCAGCTGCCATGGCCCTATCCATGCACCATCCTGCTTTAGCAGTGACTGCTTTTATTAAGTTATGACAGAGTTCCAGAGTAAAACCTGCTTTGAATCGCTTCAGGCAGCTAAAAATTTTTAGGTGCTTTTCAGGGGTAGAGTGTTACTTTCAGATAATACATGATAGATGGCTGGCTGCATGCACAGGTGACCTGCTGCAGGAGAGCTGGTGTCAAACTGTGCCACATCAGGCATTTTGCATTTGAACACGTCTGTCCTGCCACCCTCTCCTCATCCAAAGTCTTCCCACACTGGGGAAAATGAAATGAAATGCAAAACCCAATTCCCTGAGAAATTATGTAAGAAAAAAATAACCTTCATCCCTCCCATTGCAGACAAGATCTGCTGTGAAGGGCTGCCCACAGAAGACTGGATTGTTTAAAGCAAGGGGAAGTTTGGCTTCATGTTGCCATTGCAGAACAGCTCAGTGCAGGACTTTTAGATGTATTCATTCCCTTAAATCACTTAAGGAAAATTAGCTGCCATAAGACCATAAAACCATGTTTTAAATATTGCTGCATAGGAGGATTTTTCTTCTGCTCTGCAGTATGGGAGATAAGCTCTTTCCTTTGAAAAAAAGTTCATTCTGGAGTAGGGAGGATGAGTGACACAGAAATAAGTGAAGTGGGTATGAGGCACACGCACAATGCCACAGCTACAGTGATTCCAGCACTGAGTGTTCCAAGGCTGAGTGTTTGCTGTAGTTACTGTATAAAAATAATCCCAAGCACTTGAGGTTCACTGTTCTTCTGGGTTTTACGAAGTGTGCTTATTTTATTTTATTTTATTTTTAAAGTGTTTCAGATTCTGAAAGGACCACATTGCCCTTAGGAAGGAATGGATGGATCGAGAAATGAGAGAACAATAGGAAGCTTTTGATCTCCTTGCCACTGATTTTGACACAGTAACTCTGATGATCAGTGTCATTATGTTGACCCACATGGAGTGAGGGGATATTCTCAGCTGTTTCTAGTGGTACCAGTCTTGCAGATGAGACTGAAGTGATAGTCTCCTCTAGATCATGTGCTGCTGGCTGGGGAGATTTCTGTTCCCAAGCACCTTTCCCTGCCCATACATGAGCAAGCAATGTCCTCCCACCACTCCACCAGCTGATACCTGCTGATGGTTTCCCTGTCTGTGCTGGAGCAGGTAGCAGAATTATCTCAGAACATGATTGTACTGTTTAAACCAACTTAGCTGGCTCTTGTTTGCAGTTTGTTAAAGCATGTTCCTGTCAGCCATTCCAGCACCCTTTAAAAACAGATTTAGTGAGTGCACTCAGGTCCTGTGTTCAGTGTCAGCTCAGCCCCCTTGCTATGAGCACTGTGATATGGCCTTTACTCACAGGGGCTGGTGTTATTCTCCCTTCTAGATCTCTCCCTCACCGAGTTCTCCAAATGGAAAACTCCTACTTAATAAGCAGATACTCAGTGTTCTACCTTCAGTGCTCATGGTGCAGCCTTGTCCTGTGTTTACTGTGCCCTGTGCAGAGCCTGCTCTGAAGATAGAACTGTTAATCTCCTCATAGGCTCTTTTGTTCTGCTCATTGCTATACCCTGGGAGCATTGCAGAAGTGTGGATTATTTCTGGCAGGAGACCCCTGTGAGAGACAAATGTTTCATCCTTGTGTGGATAGGAAACAGTTATGATCACACGTGCTCATTTGTGATAGATGGTTTAGGATGTCTGGAATCAGATTTGTTTAATGTCATTCAGCAAAGACTGATACCTTCACTGTCTTGTATTTACCCCTTGCTTCTGCAAGGAAGATTGGGATAGATATTTCTGTCATTTGGTTCTCCTAGGACCTAGAGACAAGGAATAGGCTGTGATTGATGATTTGGGATGAATCTGTTTTGAGTAATTTGCTCCTCCCAAGTGAAAATGTAGACATGGGATTCAGGGCTCCCAGGCACTCTTGCTGCAACACTGGACTTTGTGTACTTTCTTCTGTGTGTCTTCTGTTCTGTCTGTTTTCCACCTCCTGTTGAAATGAAGCTGGAGTCCTACAAACAGATGATTCCTTTGCAAGATGCTGTTCATCTTGTGCCCTGAGTGAGCCAGAAACCCATTCAAAATTTAAAAAACCCCCACCACTTAAGGGATGTGCTCCTCAATTAGCATGTCCTTTGTCATGCACATATGTTACAGCCCTTGCATACTTTTAATGCTATTCTGGGTGAAAGTTTTCAATGCAAAATGAAAGCCCCAGCATGCTAAACTCTGAGTCATCTGCTGGGCTGGAACCTTTAGATCCAACACACAGACATCTGCCACAAGGGCTGATGAATTAGCTGGTAGAGAATGGCAATCTGCTATTGCTGTGGACAGGAAAGAGGGAGGGAAGGAGCCTGTGGGCTTTGGGGGTATCTGCTGACAACAGCATTAGTAATAAGACAGGATGAGTAAACACAATACTGTAGGCATGAGGAGGGTTGGTATTTAAGGGTGAATGACACCTTTTAAGTCTTTGAGGATTTTTCTAAGATACTATGTGCAGGCTCAGATTTGAACAAAATCATTATTTTCCAATCTTCCTGTCTCTGAGGAGGCCTGGCTTTTGATCCAGATAGGTTTGAGTGGGCAAGCAGTACAGGGGAATTAGCCTGCTAAGTCAATGTAACTGGATTCCTCAGCAGATGACTGTGTTCCTCTTCAGAAAGAGAATATATTTGCTTTCTTCCAAAGTTATTGAACATACAGTCCTCTGGGTCTGTGTTTTTTCTCTCCAGGCCCTTCTTTAGAGGCTGATGGGTGTCCTCCTAGGGCTGAATATCCTCAGAATATCCTGCACCTCACTGCTGTAGGAAGACAGCAGAGAGAGCTTGTTTTGGGGAGAAAGGTGTGATCTCTGAGTTCCAGCTTGTGGCTGATAAGCCTTGATGACAGAAAACAGGTGAGGGTGAAGGCTGAGTGCTGTGTGAAGCAGGAGAGTTCCCAGATGAAGGGAACCACGTTGTCTCCCTCCTCTGTAACTCATCAGAGCTGCCTGTTCTGTCCAGCCCAGCCTGGTGGTTTCTCTAGGTTTCCCCACTGCCAAGGAGTACA